AAAGCTCTTAATAATCAAGCTCCATCATACATCAGTGATCTGATTGTTCCATACGTTCCTAACCGAGCACTTCGCTCCCAGACTGCAGGTTTTCTGGTGGTTCCCAGAATATCTAAAATTAGGGTGGGAGGCAGATCTTTTCGTAATCAGGCACCTGTCCTGTGGAACCAGCTCCCAGCCTTAGTCCGTGAGGCAGACATCTTGTCTACTTTTAAGACTAGGCTTAAAACATTTTTATTTGATAGGGCTTATGGTTAAAATCTGATGTTAGCCTAAATCTGGACAAGTGGGGGAGTACAGGGAGGTGGAGTGTACAGTCGGTAAAGACGGCTCTCCCTTGCCCTGCCTCCAACATGCCTCCATCTAAATAGGACAGATTATCCAGAGTTATCTCTGTAGTTATGCTGCTATAGGCTTAGACTGCTGGAGGATACACTGACCACTTTTCACACTCTACTACTTTCTTCTACAATCTGCCTTTAACTGTATTATTTCCTGCTACTTCAGCTATTAGCTTTATTTTTTCTCTAAGTGTTTTTCTCCCCAGAAGATGCGACAATGATGTTCTGCTGAGCTGTGGTGGCCTCATGGAGGGGGCCATCGTCTAGCACACTGCTGCTAACCACTTAAACATTCTCCCTCTCCTGATAACAACTTTTTGTTTCCTTGACGTTGGATGTGCTACTACTAGTTTATCTGTTTAATTATAGATCCACTAGGATAAATACAAAAAAGTTTATTTCTCGCCAAATAGAATATTTACTAAGCAATCACTGTGTAACCATGGACACATTGCTTTGTGTGTGTGTGTGTGTGTGTGTGTGTGTGTGTGCGTGTGTGTGTGTGTGTGTGTGTGTGTGTGCCTGCTCTGTCTTCTCGATCCCCAGTGAGTCGTGGAGGATGGCTGCTTATACTGAGCCAGGATTCTCTGGAGGTTTCTTCCTGTTAAAAGGGAGTTTTCCTCTCCACTGTCGCTATATGCTTGCTTAGTATGAGGATTGCTGTAAAGTCACTGACACCAGTCAGTGACTTGATGCAATTTGCTGTGTTCCTTATATAGGAAACTTTTTTTTTCTGATTGGCTTAATGAACTGACCAGAATTGGAATGTTTATTATGCGAAGTGCCTTGAGACGACTCTTGTCGTGATTTGGCGCTATATAAATAAAATTGAACTGAATTGAATTGAAGGGGGACTTCTGTCGAAACAAATACTTTACTGTGGACTAAAATCACACCAGAAATTATGAAGTCATGTACACGAGACTTCACAATGTAGCATGACGCTTGTAGATGCAATATGACACTGGTGTAAATTCATAAAAAATCATCCGTCATAGCTGATGTACAACTTTCACCACATCCTTACTCTGGAACACCCACTGTACCTGTGTGTCACATTTCACACAGATTTACTGTAGAAATCTTCAGATTTTAAAGAAAACTTGTATTCAGTCCACACTCGTGACAGTCTGGTTAATATTCAAAAATTCATAAAAAATCATCCGTCATAGCTGATGTACAACTTTCACCACATCCTTACTCTGGAACACCCACTGTACCTGTGTGCCACATTTCAGACAGATTTACTGTAGAAATCTTCAGATTTTAAAGAAAACTTGTATTCAGTCCACACTCGTGACAGTCAGGTTGCATATTCAAAAATTCATAAAAAATCATCCGTCATAGCTGATGTACAACTTTCACCACATCCTTACTCTGGAACACCCACTGTACCTGTGAGCCACATTTCAGACAGATTTACTGTAGAAATCTTCAGATTTTAAAGAAAACTTGTATTCAGTCCACACTCGTGACAGTCTGGTTGCATATTCAAAAATTCATAAAAAATCATCCTTCATAGCTGATGTACAACTTTCACCACATCCTTCCTCTGGAACACCCACTGTACCTGTGTGCCACATTTCACACAGATTTACTGTAGAAATGTTCAGATTTTAAAGAAAACTTGTATTCAGTCCACACTCGTGACAGTCTGGTTAATATTCAAAAATTCATAAAAAATCATCCGTCATAGCTGATGTACAACTTTCACCACATCCTTACTCTGGAACACCCACTGTACCTGTGTGCCACATTTCAGACAGATTTACTGTAGAAATCTTCAGATTTTAAAGAAAACTTGTATTCAGTCCACACTCGTGACAGTCTGGTTAATATTCAACAATTCCTAAAAAATCATCCTTCATAGCTGATGTACAACTTTCACCACATCCTTACTCTGGAACACCCACTGTACCTGTGTGCCACATTTCAGACAGATTTACTGTAGAAATCTTCAGATATTACAGAAAACTTGTATTCAGTCCACACTAGTGACAGTCTGGTTAATATTCAAAAATTCATAAAAAATCATCCTTCATAGCTGATGTACAACTTTCACCACATCCTTACTCTGGAACACCAACTGTACCTGTGTGTCACATTTCACACAGATTTACTGTAGAAATCTTCAGATTTTAAAGAAAACTTGTATTCAGTCCACACTCGTGACAGTCTGGTTAATATTCAAAAATTCATAAAAAATCATCCGTCATAGCTGATGTACAACTTTCACCACATCCTTACTCTGGAACACCCACTGTACCTGTGTGCCACATTTCAGACAGATTTACTGTAGAAATCTTCAGATATTACAGAAAACTTGTATTCAGTCCACACTAGTGACAGTCTGGTTAATATTCAAAAATTCATAAAAAATCATCCGTCATAGCTGATGTACAACTTTCACCACATCCTTACTCTGGAACACCCACTGTACCTGTGTGTCACATTTCAGACAGATTTACTGTAGAAATCTTCAGATTTTAAAGAAAACTTGTATTCAGTCCACACTCGTGACAGTCTGGTTAATATTCAAAAATTCATAAAAAATCATCCTTCATAGCTGATGTACAACTTTCACCACATCCTTACTCTGGAACACCCACTGTACCTGTGTGCCACATTTCAGACAGATTTACTGTAGAAATCTTCAGATTTTAAAGAAAACTTGTATTCAGTCCACACTCGTGACAGTCTGGTTAATATTCAAAAATTCATAAAAAATCATCCGTCATAGCTGATGTACAACTTTCACCACATCCTTACTCTGGAACACCCACTGTACCTGTGTGTCACATTTCACACAGATTTACTGTAGAAATCTTCAGATTTTAAAGAAAACTTGTATTCAGTCCACACTCGTGACAGTCTGGTTAATATTCAAAAATTCATAAAAAATCATCCTTCATAGCTGATGTACAACTTTCACCACATCCTTACTCTGGAACACCCACTGTACCTGTGTGCCACATTTCAGACAGATTTACTGTAGAAATCTTCAGATATTACAGAAAACTTGTATTCAGTCCACACTCGTGACAGTCTGGTTAATATTCAAAAATTCATAAAAAATCATCCGTCATAGCTGATGTACAACTTTCACCACATCCTTACTCTGGAACACCCACTGTACCTGTGTGCCACATTTCAGACAGATTTACTGTAGAAATCTTCAGATTTTAAAGAAAACTTGTATTCAGTCCACACTCGTGACAGTCTGGTTAATATTCAAAAATTCATAAAAAATCATCCGTCATAGCTGATGTACAACTTTCACCACATCCTTACTCTGGAACACCCACTGTACCTGTGTGTCACATTTCAGACAGATTTACTGTAGAAATCTTCAGATTTTAAATAAAACTTGTATTCAGTCCACACTCGTGACAGTCAGGTTGCATATTCAAAAATTCATAAAAAATCATCCTTCATAGCTGATGTACAACTTTCACCGCATCCTTCCTCTGGAACACCCACTGTACCTGTGTGCCACATTTCAGACAGATTTACTGTAGAAATCTTCAGATTTTAAAGAAAACTTGTATTCAGTCCACACTAGTGACAGTCTGGTTAATATTCAAAAATTCATAAAAAATCATCCTTCATAGCTGATGTACAACTTTCACCACATCCTTACTCTGGAACACCCACTGTATCTGTGTGCCACATTTCAGACAGATTTACTGTAGAAATCTTCAGATTTTAAAGAAAACTTGTATTCAGTCCACACTCGTGACAGTCTGGTTAATATTCAAAAATTCATAAAAAATCATCCATCATAGCTGATGTACAACTTTCACCACATCCTTACTCTGGAACACCCACTGTACCTGTGTGCCACATTTCAGACAGATTTACTGTAGAAATCTTCAGCGGTGAAAGTTGTACATCAGCTATGAAGGATGATTTTTTATGAATTTTTGAATATTAACCAGACTGTCACTAGTGTGGACTGAATACAAGTTTTCTTTAATATCTGAACATTTCTACAGTAAATCTGTGTGAAATGTGGCACACAGGTACAGTGGGTGTTCCAGAGGAAGGATGTGGTGAAAGTTGTACATCAGCTATGAAGGATGATTTTTTATGAATTTTTGATTATGCAACCAGACTGTCACGAGTGTGGACTGAACACAAGTTTGCTGTAATATCTTAAGATTTCTACAGTAAATCTGTGTGAAATGTGGCTCACAGGTACAGTGGGTGTTCCAGAGGAAGGATGTGGTGAAAGTTGTACATCAGCTATGAAGGATGATTTTTTATGAATTTTTGATTATGCAACATGACTGTCACAAGTGTGGACTGCATACAAGTTTGCTGTAATATCTGAGGATTTCTACAGTAAATCTGTCTGAAATGTGGCACACAGGTACAGTGGGTGTCCCAGAATCATAATGTGGTGAAACTTGTACATCAGCTATGAAGGATGATTTTTTATGAATTTTTGAATATGCAACCAGACTGTCACGAGTGTGGACTGAATACAAGTTTTCTTTAAAATCTGAAGATTTCTACAGTAAATCTGTCTGAAATGTGGCACACAGGTACAGTGGGTGTTCCAGAGTAAGGATGTGGTGAAAGTTGTACATCAGCTATGAAGGATGATTTTTTATGAATTTTTGATTATGCAACATGACTGTCACAAGTGTGGACTGCATACAAGTTTGCTGTAATATCTGAGGATTTCTACAGTAAATCTGTCTGAAATGTGGCACACAGGTACAGTGGGTGTCCCAGAATCATAATGTGGTGAAACTTGTACATCAGCTATGAAGGATGATTTTTTATGAATTTTTGAATATGCAACCAGACTGTCACGAGTTGGGCAGTTCCCTGTTCAAAATGCCGTACCGCAAAGACCGTTGTAAACGCGCAATGAAATTTTCGCGGCGGATAAGATGCGGCTGGCTTGACCGCGGCTCACAATTGTCGGCTCACTTGACCGCGGTAGACTCCCGGGTGAGAGTCATACGCTCTAACCAGTCAGCCAAAGGTACAAACCCTTGGCCAAGTAGCCAGGGCGCATTATCTATCGGGACACTGTGACAGGACACACACTGCCACACCTGATTATGAAACTTTGGCTGAATAGTGCTTGTTCCTGTCTCCAATGTGGCGACGCATCCAGGAACCTGTCTGAGGAGAAGCCCAGAATCTGACATCCTCCAGCTCAGAATGCGCCGATATGATTACGCACAAGCGTGACGCGTCAACCCGGTTCACAGTAAGACCGGGTTGGACCTGTTCAGGTTTACGCAGACAATCTTTACATTTAGAATTGGCATACAGATGTAAAATTAATGCAGTAAAATATAAAGCTTTTTATTTAAACATCCATTCATTATTTTACAAGCACAGAGAGCGCATCAGATGGATGGAAGAGCCGCATGCGGCTCCAGAGCCGCCGACCCCTTTGCTAGCCTACTTTATTGTCCCCAGCAATTTTTAAACCCCACTCAAGTGTATGGTTATTGTCCCCAGCAATTCTGAAAGCAAACTGACGCCCTTGGGTCCATGGTAAGAAACTGGCAAGTTATGTCGTGTGTGGGTGAAGTGATACGAGGCGGTGGTGAGAGTTGATCATGTTTGATGTAAGGATCCTCAGGCATCGGCTCAGGCTCATTCAGAACTATACCCTCATGTTCCATGAAGTCCTGTTGAGTGAATGAAAAGCCTCAAACCAAAAGACTAGTTGCAGAAGCGGCTCACACACAACACTTGTTTCATAGGGATGATAACAGGAATCGGGAGTGATGTACCTTTGTGAATGTATCACAGTGAGTAAGATGGTACTTGTATCCATACACTTCCAGGTCTATACCAAGGTTGAAGTCTTTCCAGTGGTAATAGTCTCCACGGTCATTCTTTGGCACCCGATGGTGTTTGAGCCGCTTCCCCTGTGATATCCCAGAGTTCATCACTGCGGACTCCCAGATGCACATGCTGTCATCCTCGAGATAGTAATAAATGACCATAGGGCGTATACGGTGATCCTCGTCAGGTGAATTCCAGGCATCCTCCAAGAAGTATGCAAAGAAACAAAGTACCTAGAATACAAGCAGATGGTTGTCAACGGCCATTTACATTTTATGGATAAATGATCATATCGGATTTTCTAGGTTCAACCTTCTTGTCGAATTTCACATAAGCTGGGATGAAGTCTTCGTATACTGTCTTGTCATCAAAGTGATATGTAAGGTCTGGTTTCTCAAAGGACAGCTCACTGATCTCCTGTAGGGACAGCTGCTCTGATACTAGAGGCTCCTGACCAATGCCAGCGGATGGGCGACGAGGCAAAGCAAAGCCGTTCTTATAGATCAGAGTCTGGGGTAGGTGGAAGGAGCCACTTTCTGATAACCTTTGAGTTTTTTTATAACTGAGTTCTCGAGACATGAAAGTAAATTTCACTATAGTCGGTCTCTATCTGACAACGCTGTTGCATCTTTTGAATCAACTGTTCCGTCTTTACTGTCCTCAGCATCTCAGAGGAACATAGCAGAGGGCAATATTTTCATTTCTAGCCCCTCATAAATTGATGTCTTAGTTCATAATGTTACTTCCTCTTTACGTGTGGCATTAGATGATGTTGCCCCTTTAAAAAGGAAGGTAATTAGGGACAGGAAGTCGGCTCCCTGGTGTAATTCTCATTTACGAGCTTTAAAACAAAACTCTAGGAGATTGGCGAGAACATGGCGCTCTACGCACCATGAGGAGGCCTACCTATCCTGGAAAAATAGTCTTGTGCTTTATAAAAATAAGCTTCGACAAACTAGAAATGCTTATTTCTCAGCGTTAATTGAGGGGAATAAGAATAATCCTAAATTTCTTTTCAGTACAGTTGCTAAACTTACACAGAATCATAGCTCTGAGCCATCTATTCCCTTAGCCCTCAGCAGTAATGACTTTATGGGATTTTTCACAAGTAAAATTAATTCTATTAGAAAAAAAAATCTTTAGCATCCTCCCTAATGCGATTTCTTCCTCCTCAGTAAGTGAGGCAGCATTAGGGCTGGGCGATATGGCAAAAATAGAATATCACGATTTTTCCAATATTTTATCACGATTTCGATTTTATCACGATTTTTTATCCATGAATAGCATAACTTCAATTGCGTATTAAAGAAGAGAAACATTGAATAAATAAACATTTATTCATATTAGGGATAATCAACACAGTGCTAACACACTTATATTTTAAACTCACACCAGAGATGATAAAAGCCCTGAGAGAAACAATTACAAAAATCAGTTTTTCTCGGTTTTCAAGTAACTTAACATAAATTAAAATCGTAAACATATTTAAAGTGCAAACATGTCAATTGCAAACGTATTGTGCAAACATTAACTTGTTCAAAATACTATGTAGCTCCCAATTGCTCATGTAGTGGATAGTTAAGCTCAAATACAGCTCTGATGTGCGGCTGGACCAGAGATCGCTTGTGGTAGAAAAAACTGCGCATTCTGAATATTTTCTGCAACAAGTCTCTAAATAAAGTAAAAATTTCCAGTGCAGAGTGGAGACAACCCATAGAAGCACTGATTTGATCTCATTTCAGAGAAAAATAGAACAGGTTAGATGCACCTAATAAATAAAATTACTAACAAACTCAGGAATCTTTCTTTGCTTCACTGTTCTGGTGCTGAAAATATCACTAATGCGGATCAAAGGAGATACACAGATGAATGCACCTCTTATTATTTGGAAACTACATTTACTGCAGCTGGCAGAGGCAGAGATTGTTTCTATTGATACACGGAGTTTACAGAATCATTTTAAATTGTAATAAGGGAAGACTGCAGGAGGGAGCGGTAAAATACAGGGGTCCCCAGCAAAAACAAGAAACTACGAGTCTGATGAAACCCGCTGGTTTTCCATCAGGCAGTCACGGAGCAGCTCCAGTGACCCAGTGACCGAGCTCAGTCCGGTACCGACACCGGCTCGGCAGAAGGTGGACGAGCCGAGGCGGCGTCGTGCTCTGCTTAAGAAGCGGTGTTATTTTCCTGCTTTAGAAGAAGCGTCCAACGTGTTTTTACGCTTTCTCCGAGACATGTCACGTCGCTAAGTGATTAGCGCCGTGCGCTAAGGAAACCCTGCGTTCCTCTTCGGAACGAAAACCTCGTTGTCGCTCAGCCGCGGCGAAGCCATGTTTGTTCACACACAAGTGAAAACAAGCGGGGCACTAATATATTACTATGACTCACTCTGATTGGTTAAGGGTCAAACAAAGGCGTGTCATTCGCCTGAGGTAAGTTCCATTTTCATTCAGAGGCAGAAATTCAACAGCAGAGCTGTGAATCGTGATAAAACGGTCTCTCAAAAATGACAGACCGTCAGATGTGTAGATCGTAAAACGGTCTAAAATCGTCATATCGCCCAGCCCTAGGCAGCATCAGAGGCAACTGTAGAACCTCATCTGTGTTGAACTGTTTTGGTCCAGTTGAGCTTTCAGATTTATCAAAAATATTAGCTTCATCTAAACCTTCCACTTGCATTTTGGATCCACTCCCAACCAAATTATTTAAAGAGGCATTTCCTTTGGTTACTGCCCGCATTCTAGATATAATCAATCCATCCTTAGTAAATGGATATGTACCACAGGATTTTAAGGTTGTTGTAATCAAACCTTCACTTAAGAAGCCTTCTCTGGATCCAGATGACCCAATGAATTATTAGACCAATATCTAACCTTCCATTTTTATCCAAAGTCCTGGAGAAAATAGTGGCCATCCAAGTATGTGAGCATTTAAACACTAATGCTCTGTTTGAGGAATTTCAGTCTGGTTTTAGAGAGTATCACAGTACTGAAACTGCATTAGTGAGAGTTACAAATGATATTCTCATGGCCTCAGATAAGAATCTTGTGTCTGTTCTAGTCTTGTTAGATCTCAGTGCTGCCTTTGACACAGTTGATCACAATGTTCTTTTAGAAAGACTTGAACACGTTGTAGGGATCAAAGGAACAGCGCTAGGCTGGTTTAAATCCTACCTGTCTGACAGATTTCATTTTGTAAATGTACATGACAAATCTTCTTCATACTCCAGGGTTACTTGTGGAGTACCAAAAGGTTCAGTGCTTGGACCAATTCTTTTTACTATATATATGCTTCCAATTGGTAAAATCATTCGACAGCATGGGATAAACTTTCACTGTTATGCTGACGATACTCAGTTATATCTGTCTCTGCCGGTACTCTGTCGGTACTCTGATTAACCTAATCGGTTAGGTAGATTACAGGCTTGGATGACTCTAAACTTTTTGCTTTTAAATCAAGACAAGACGGAAGTTCTCATCTTTGGACAAGAAATCCAGAATAGGAAATTGCTTAGTCAATCACCTGACCTGAATGGCATTACATTAATCTCCGAGAACAAAGTAAGGAACCTTGGTGATATTTATGATCAGGACATGTCATTCAAATCCCAGGTTAATCAGGTTTGTAGGATTTCCTTTTTCCACCTTCGGAATATTGCTAAGATTAGAAGCATCCTTTCCAGGAGTGATGCTGAAAAACTAGTTCATGCATCAAGACTGGATTACTGTAATTCATCACTCTCAGGAAGTCCACAGAATGTAGTTAAAAGTCTTCAGCTTGTCCAAAATGCTGCAGCTAGAGTTCTGATGAGAATTAAAAAGAGAGATCATATCTCTCCTGTCTTAGCTTCCCTACATTGGCTACCTGTTAAATTCAGAATAGATTTTAAGATCCTTCTTCTCACATATAAAGCTCTTAATAATCAAGCTCCATCATACATCAGTGATCTGATTGTTCCATACGTTCCTAACCGAGCACTTCGCTCCCAGACTGCAGGTTTTCTGGTGGTTCCCAGAATATCTAAAATTAGGGTGGGAGGCAGATCTTTTCGTAATCAGGCACCTGTCCTGTGGAACCAGCTCCCAGCCTTAGTCCGTGAGGCAGACATCTTGTCTACTTTTAAGACTAGGCTTAAAACATTTTTATTTGATAGGGCTTATGGTTAAAATCTGATGTTAGCCTAAATCTGGACAAGTGGGGGAGTACAGGGAGGTGGAGTGTACAGTCGGTAAAGACGGCTCTCCCTTGCCCTGCCTCCAACATGCCTCCATCTAAATAGGACAGATTATCCAGAGTTATCTCTGTAGTTATGCTGCTATAGGCTTAGACTGCTGGAGGATACACTGACCACTTTTCACACTCTACTACTTTCTTCTACAATCTGCCTTTAACTGTATTATTTCCTGCTACTTCAGCTATTAGCTTTATTTTTTCTCTAAGTGTTTTTCTCCCCAGAAGATGCGACAATGATGTTCTGCTGAGCTGTGGTGGCCTCATGGAGGGGGCCATCGTCTAGCACACTGCTGCTAACCACTTAAACATTCTCCCTCTCCTGATAACAACTTTTTGTTTCCTTGACGTTGGATGTGCTACTACTAGTTTATCTGTTTAATTATAGATCCACTAGGATAAATACAAAAAAGTTTATTTCTCGCCAAATAGAATATTTACTAAGCAATCACTGTGTAACCATGGACACATTGCTTTGTGTGTGTGTGTGTGTGTGTGTGCGTGTGTGTGTGTGTGTGTGCCTGCTCTGTCTTCTCGATCCCCAGTGAGTCGTGGAGGATGGCTGCTTATACTGAGCCAGGATTCTCTGGAGGTTTCTTCCTGTTAAAAGGGAGTTTTCCTCTCCACTGTCGCTATATGCTTGCTTAGTATGAGGATTGCTGTAAAGTCACTGACACCAGTCAGTGACTTGATGCAATTTGCTGTGTTCCTTATATAGGAAACTTTTTTTTTCTGATTGGCTTAATGAACTGACCAGAATTGGAATGTTTATTATGCGAAGTGCCTTGAGACGACTCTTGTCGTGATTTGGCGCTATATAAATAAAATTGAACTGAATTGAATTGAAGGGGGACTTCTGTCGAAACAAATACTTTACTGTGGACTAAAATCACACCAGAAATTATGAAGTCATGTACACGAGACTTCACAATGTAGCATGACGCTTGTAGATGCAATATGACACTGGTGTAAATTCATAAAAAATCATCCGTCATAGCTGATGTACAACTTTCACCACATCCTTACTCTGGAACACCCACTGTACCTGTGTGTCACATTTCACACAGATTTACTGTAGAAATCTTCAGATTTTAAAGAAAACTTGTATTCAGTCCACACTCGTGACAGTCTGGTTAATATTCAAAAATTCATAAAAAATCATCCGTCATAGCTGATGTACAACTTTCACCACATCCTTACTCTGGAACACCCACTGTACCTGTGTGCCACATTTCAGACAGATTTACTGTAGAAATCTTCAGATTTTAAAGAAAACTTGTATTCAGTCCACACTCGTGACAGTCAGGTTGCATATTCAAAAATTCATAAAAAATCATCCGTCATAGCTGATGTACAACTTTCACCACATCCTTACTCTGGAACACCCACTGTACCTGTGAGCCACATTTCAGACAGATTTACTGTAGAAATCTTCAGATTTTAAAGAAAACTTGT